CGAGCCCCTAGTAGCGTCCTTGCTCCTAGTAGTAAGGCCAGGAGCCCCCAGTAGCTTCTTGTTACTAGTAGTAAGAGTGCTACTAGTAGCGATGCCAGGAGCCCCTAGTAGCGTCCTTGCTCCTAGTAGTAAGGCCAGGAGCCCCTAGTAGCTTCTTGTTACTAGTAGTAAGAATGCTACTAGTAGCGATGCCAGAAGCCCCTAGTAGCGTCCTTGCTCCTAGTAGTAAGGCCAGGAGCCCCTAGTAGCTTCTTGTTGCTACTAGTAGCGATGCCAGGAGCCCCTAGTAGCGTCCTTGCTCCTAGTAGTAAGGACAGGAGCCCCTAGTAGCTTCTTGTTACTAGTAGCAAGAATGCTCCTAGTAGCGATGCCACGAGCCCCTAGTAGCGTCCTTGCTCCTAGTAGTAAGGCCAGGAGCCCCTAGTAGCTTCTTGTTACTAGTAGTAAGAGCGCTACTAGTAGCGATGCCAGGGGCCCCTAGTAGCGTCCTTGCTCCTAGTAGTAAGGCCAGGAGCCCCTTACTAGTAGTAGTAAGAATGCTCCTAGTAGCGATGCCACGAGCCCCTAGTAGCGTCCTTGCTCCTACTAGTAAGGCCAGGAGCCCCCAGTAGCTTCTTGTTCCTAGTAGTAAGAGTGCTACTAGTAGCGATGCCAGGAGCCCCTAGTAGCGTCCTTGCTCCTAGTAGTAAGGCCAGGAGCCCCTAGTAGCTGCTTGTTACTAGTAGTAAGAACGCTACTAGTAGCGATGCCAGGAGCCCCTAGTAGCGTCCTTGCTCCTAGTAGTAAGGCCAGGAGCCCCCCAGTAGCTTCTTGTTACTAGTAGTAAGAATGCTACTAGTAGCGATGCCAGGACCCCTAGTAGCGTCCTTGCTCCTACTATTAACGCCAGGAGCCCCTAGTAGCTTCTTGTTACTAGTTGTAAGAATGCTACTAGTAGCGATGCCAGGAGCCCCTAGTAGCGTCCTTGCTCCTAGTAGTAAGGCCAGGAGCCCCTAGTAGCTTCTTGTTACTAGTAGTAAGAATGCTACTAGTAGCGATGCCAGGAGCTCCTAGTAGCGTCCCTGCTCCTAGTAGTAAGGCCAGGAGCCCCCTAGTAGCTTCTTGTTACTAGTAGTAAGAATGCTACTAGTAGCGTTGCCAGGAGCCCCTAGTAGCGTCCTTGCTCCTACGATTAAGGCCAGGAGCCCCTAGTAGCTTCTTGTTACTAGTTGTAAGCATGCTACTAGTAGCGATGCCAGGAGCCCCTAGTAGCGTCCTTGTTCCTAGTAGTAAGGCCAGGAGCCCCTAGTAGCTTCTTGTTACTAGTAGCAAGAATGCTCCTAGTAGCGATGCCACGAGCCCCTAGTAGCGTCCTTGCTCCTAGTAG